TGTGTTTACATTACCACACACACCTTATAGTGTGCATATTTACATGTGTTTACATTACCACACACACCTTATAGATTGTGTACATTTATGTGTTAACATTATCACACACACCTTATAGAGTGTGCATATTTACATGTGTTTACATTACCACACACACCTTATAGATTGTGCACATTTACATGTGTTTACATTACCACACACACCTTATAGATTGTGCACATTTACATGTGTTTACATTACCACACACACCTTATAGATTGTGCACATTTACATGTGTTTACATTACCACACACACCTTATAGATTGTGCATATTTACATGTGTTTACATTACCACACACAACTTATAGATTGTGCACCTTTACATGTGGTTACATTACTACACACACACACACACACCTTATAGATTGTGCATATTTACATGTGTTTACATTACCACACACAACTTATAGATTGTGCACCTTTACATGTGGTTACATTACTACACACACACACACACACCTTATAGATTGTGCACATTTACATGTGTTTACATTACCACACACACCTTATAGAGTATGCATATTTACATGGGTTTGCATTGAGTTCATTAGCATCACTGTACATTTGTTCTATAGATTATTTCTGGAACCTTTTCAAAAAATTAACAGCATTTTTATTGAATGTTTTGTAAAAATATTGTACCAATAACATTGAATGATTTTGTCATGCATGATCAATCATTGCAACTGTTTTGCATATAAATTTTCCATACTTCCAACATCTCTATAAACTTTTCTCAAAATCACTTATTTAATGTGCTTTGAAAATTCTTGGACACTACTTATCTGGAGCATTATTGATATTCATACTCAGAGTTTCATTATAGAATATGCTGGGTGGACCATGTCCCATGTTCAAGATTGTATTCTTATTCTTCTGGTGTGGCTGTATACATTAGCAGGTTACAATCTACTAAACAAGTAATAGTTATACAGTATAATTTTTGAATGTTTGAGCAACATATACATCTTAGAATACTTCATTTTAAATACTCAGAAAAGATTGTGCTTATGTTGATTTCCTGATATTTTTAGATGAGTCGGGAGAGAAGTTCCTGTATCGGTATAAACCAACCTCTCTACAAGAGGTGATGAGCTATTTTTCAGCTGATGTGAGTGAGCAGTTGCATTCATTATTTTCAGTCTATCTACAACAACATACACTTTGTAACAGCTTTCCTGACAGTCTGCTAGACATGATCAAGGTTTTCTGCCAAGCTACCTATACGGTATGAACAATAAAATGCATGAGAACATCTCAGAAATGGTGATTCTCATGTGTAGAATTTTAGGAGGTAATTTTTAATATGCAAGTAGTTCAAGAACTGACATTATCAGTATGTATGCGTGTAATATTTCCAGGAAATATTTTAAATGTTTTCACGAAAAAAAAATTTCATGGGTATAGTAAAGCCACTTATTTGTTTTCGTAAAATATCGCTAAAAAATTAAACTTATTCTTACACTGATATATCAGTTCTGAAACAACTTGTATATATAGTGGTCCAGTATGTATGTCTTTATTTTGTTTGTGCAATTTTCAATTCCTATTCATGTGTGACTGCAAGTATATATTTACAGTTGAAAATGTTGATAGCAAGGATGTCAGGGTGATGAATCAATGCATTCTGATTTTTATAGGTTTTAGTTTTCTTATGTATTCATTTTAGTTTCATTAATTTATAAGTTTTTTCAAAACTCTGATCTGTAAAGTTAGGTATTTTTGCCAAAATCAAGATTTTTTGTTTGCAATATAACATTTTGATTATTGTTTGCGTATTTTTTTTTTTTTTCAATTGTGAGTTCTAATAAATGAAATTGTTTGTAACTTAATTTTCCTCCATGTGACATTGAGTTTAATTTTATAACCTCTCCAGGTATGATGTTGTGTAATGCTTTTCAGCAAAGTCTGTTTCTGGGTAATACATTTCCCATGATCTATTATAAAAGAAATATTATCCAGAAAGAAAATGTATAGTTCAAAATCGAGATGGTACTTGGGTAACAAAAGTAGTAGTAAGAATATTTAATTTTAAAACAATCAATATAAGAATAATGTTGTAATAAACTACATGACAAGTAAATAAACTAGTAAAGTAAATACAGTTAGTAAGATATGTTTTAAAAACATCCACCACAAAGGACATAATTTGAAACCTTTACTATGCTGGCTATGCTACACTTGCATGTTATAACAAATGAAAAATATCTAGTGTGTAGTCTTAATGAGGAAGAACCATGTATGTATGTATGTGTGTGTGTGTGGGTAAGCCTGATGTAGTGTATATGTTTTATATGTATTTTCTGATAAAAGATCTTGCAACAATTGTAAAACATACTTATAGGAAGTATGTATATACTCATTTATAATATATAGTTATAATACAAGAATTCCAGATTGATATAGGCAAACAGCCAAAATTTAAGAATTCCAAGTTGATACCTCACCTCTTTACACAGAATAGCTTGATCCTATGAGATTTGCATGCCACTAGCCTTGCGTTACCTCCCACCTAAAAATGTGTGTTTAATGTGAAATGTACTAGTGCATGATGTCATCATTATGCAGTGATAGTCCTCCATCAATAGAAGAATGACACAACCTTCTTATGCAGTAGTTCCAAACATACTTACCTCTTTTCACACTATAGTTATCACTCAACTGCTAGAGTTTCCTTTCTTTGCCCATCTAAGCATTGGTTTGATTTTTTTTCGCTTGCTCCAATCTTTTATACCCCCACTTAATTGCCTTTAGTGATATTTGTCTCATGACACTTTCCATCTATGTTAATTCACCCTCTATCCCATCATTCAAATAATGTTATCACTTTTTCTCAACAAAGCATTCAGGAACAGGTTTCTCTGTACTTCGACTGTTAGAAACATTTCGACGATTTTTTGCATCACTTTGTTGATTTTCTTTAAAAAAAATTTTTGTTTGTTTGACAAGCCGATATATGGCATGAATTCCTGGATCACTGTTTCAGGTACGGAAGCTAATAAGGTCTCCTCTATCATACCTCTGATGTCTAGCATCACTCAACAGTCGTGGGGGAATCACTCTCAGTTAGGCTATTTGTGGACAGGTTCATAGTGAGATGGAGACATATATTTGGTCTGGTGGTGTTTCCTCCAGGGGGGTCTGGGGCTGCATTTGTGGATGATCCTGGGCAATTTGGATTCGTTTTTCCAAAAGGTCTGAGAGTGAATACTTACTTCTTCCTGCATCTCCTGATATTGTTGTTCATGCAGGGAGGTTTACTGATAAGTTACATGAAGGAATAACTATGGCTTGTCTACAGCATCTGTCAGAACAACATGCTTTGGCTTACCATTGCCAGGTGATGCATGTTTAGTCTCTCAGAGAGTAGACCCACTTCTGGAAATGTGTGGTTTCAGAATGGAGTCTGTAGTCAACCTGAATAGATCACAATTTTCTAGGATTCATCTGACCCTAACTATGGTTCTGACATATTTATCATCCCTCTAAAATTTGTTGGAACATCTCGCCGATCACCATATCAATTTGATGACGAGTTAAGACCATTGTTGGAATCTACCATGGTGTGATTGTCAGCTTTTGCACTTTCTCTTATCTCTTGGCTGGTATGTTGTTGGGATTTGTTGGGTAGGGATGCATTGTTGGAGGGCATTCTTCTACCTGCTGCCACTCTCCATGAGTTATATGAGGCTTCCTTTATTTGACCCTTGGTTTTGGTGAGCATTTCAGAGTCTTTGGAATCACAGATTGGTGTCACCCATGTGCATTTATCCTTGTTGTCATTGGCCTTTCTACTTTCCTCAACTTTTACAGGGATCCTGGCTCTACCCCTATTAGAGTGTCCTGACCCACAACATCAGTCCCTCAATCCATTGGTACCCAGAATAGATTCTGCCTATATCAAATAGGCTCATCTGCTTTGTTGGAACATTGCCAGTGGCAGCATTGACTACACTATACCTGTAGAGTCTGTGGTTTCTCAGCTGCAAGAATTGCTGGATGGGTGCTACAGGTTCTTTCTTGCATCAGGATTAGTCATTCGGTTCACATCTCCACCACCATTATCCCCCAAATCTGTAGTGTTTCCATCTCCTGCAGATCCTCAAATTTCAGAACTTTGTTCCAAGACTATCAGATATTTGTTAGTCAATGGGTAGTAGAGAGAGTTGACCCAGTTCTTCCAGGGTTTTATTCCCATCTGTTTATTGTGCCCAGGAAGATGGGAGATTTGGATCCAGTCATTGATCTTCAATCATCAATTATTAGACCCTCCCAGGTTTATGATGGAGTCATTCCTCACTCTACATTAGCATTTTTCCTCATCTTTTAAGACAAAATCACTGTCTTCTGGTTCTGCTTCTATGACAGCAACACCTGCTATGTCCAATTGTACATCAATAGCTACACTAAAACCTGTCCAACCTTGAAATGCCTACCATTGCCTTCTTGTTATAGAAGTGTTTCTGACTTTTTTTGGGTTTGGTTTTGCCAGTAAAACTGGTTTGATAGGTCCAGTTTAATACTTCTCTGGTTCTCTCTTTTATCATTTTCCATTTTGTATTGTGCTTGACTCTCTCATGGGCACTGTTCCAGAGTTTCTATGGTGAATGGTCTTTATTCTGCATTTCCTTCAACTTCCATGAAACCACATTCGAGTTATCACTGTTTGAGACTTTAAGAGGTTTGATATCTTGCTCATACCTTTTTTTTTTTAGCTTTTCTGATGAATGCAGTTGCTTCGGCAGTCTTCTTTTTGACTAGTTTCTCTAAATTCTTACTGCTTGGTATGTTTCCTATCACCAAGTCTTATAGTGATTCCTTGATACACATGGCCTGAAATTCTCCTACATAATATGAAGTATCCACCTTTATTTTTGCCATGGGAAACTTTCTCCCCATCCCATCAATTTGATATTTGTCACATGCTCCCATCACTATTGGCACTGTTGATCAGTTTGCTAACTTGAGCTGACCATTAATCATGCTTTCTTCATGTATTGAAGCTGACGAGTTGTCTTGATTCTGTTTCTTCTGGCAGAAGCATCCATAGTGCCAGTCACTTTTTTCTTGTTTCTTACTAGCACCTTCTTTGTAAATAGCTCCAGCTGCTTTATGTTGAGGTTTCTGCTGTTGTTTGCTGGTAATTGACTTGCACTCCTTTGCAGTGTGTCTCTTCTTCCTTCTGTCTATTAACCTGCTGTCACCTTTGGTAAACTCCTGCTTCTGGTCAGCCATCAGTGGTTTCAAATTTAACTGGATGTTCTTGGACTTGCCAGTTATACTCCCTCCATGGGCTTCCATATGCTGTTCTGCCAGCTTGGTCATCTCGTCTACTTCTTTTGGTGCTTTCTCCTTTAAGAATAGTGAAATGTCGATTGAACATAGGATCATGAATTGTTCTCGCACTAATAGGTCTGCCAGTCCTTCAAAATTATTTTCATACTTGGCCATGTCATTCCATCTGGTGAAATATCGCCATAGACGTGCCACAAACTGAAATACAGTTTCTCCAGTGTCAGGTTTGGCTCCTCTGAACTTCCGAAAAAAACCCTTCGAAAATCAAGTTCATATAGTTTCAGTAAAGCCATGTTTAATTTGTCATAATCCATGGCATTTTCTGACATCATGCCTGCATATACTTGTAGACCATTTCTTGTGAAAAGTGGGCTGAGACAGACTACCCAGTCACCTTTGTCCCAGTTCTGACTTTTGGCAAATCTTTCATATCTCTCTAGGAGAGCATCCATGTCGTCTATATGTTCATCAGATTTGGGCAGCTTGGGTCAGCTGGCCCTGATTCCGTTGTCATTCTTGGATCCTTCATCCTTCTGTTGGGTGAGCTTTGCAATTCAATTTGTGCTCTTATTCTCTTTATTTCTAGTCTCTCCTCTTTGACTTTTTCTTCTTTCTCAATCTGTGCTCTTATTCTATATATATGTTTCCTTTTCTTGTTTTAATCCTTTTTCCTTTCTTCTCTCTCTAGTTCTTATTGTTGTTTAACAAACTCTTGTGGTACACTATCTTTTAACCCAAGACTCTCAAATTTCTATCCATTTATCAAAATTTGAAATGGTTATATAGCATGATTGTAATCTCCACTCTATTTGCACTACTACTACAGCTCTGTGTATGTAGGCCTACTTATTCCTGCTGTCGTTCACATTTTTTTCTTCTACCGCCGTTTACCATTGTATAATCCTGGTTGTGGCTCGCCAATTGTCAAAATGA